TTCCTTCCTTCCTTCCTTCCTTCCTTCCTTCCTTCCTTCCTTTCTTCCTTCCTTCTTTCCTTCCTTCCTTCCTTCCTTTCTTTTCTTTTTTCTTCTATTATTGTTTTTTTCTCACCATTCTTGCACCCTTTTTTTCCTTTCTTTCCCTTCATTTTTCTTTTTTTCAAAGCCTTCTCCTTCTTTCTCTTTTTTCTCACCCTTCATTTTCGTTTTCTCTCATTCATTCTCCTAGCGCTTTTCCTATTTTCCTTTCATTTCTTGGGCAATTAATTCTCTTTCTCCTTTGTAATGCTCCGACCGTTTTCCTCTCCATCATCATTTACTTATCAACCCCTCGTTTGCATTTCTTCCAGTCTACACTTTCCTTTATTTCTTGTCATAAAGTGTTAATTTTAAATTCAGGTAATGAGAACCTCTTGACCTTTTAGGCCTCAAATACTATGTACCATTGGAATAATGACTACGACTACACAGTAAGAAACATAGCACTTCTGGTGCTTGCTTGCATGCACAAAACCCTTTTCGCCCAACTGCCTAAAGGGTTTTAGTTAAGTGTGTTCACTTTAAGCCCTTTCTAATCACACAGTATAACCCGATTTTGCTTTTTACCCCGCAATGTTTGCTATTCTTTTATACGTACCTACGTGTAATTCCCTTGAGGATAAATTTTAATCTATTAAAGTCTATTCTTATCATTATGAGCAGTTATGCCATAAAATTTAAAATATCTTTGAGGAAATAGATTATCTAAATATAATTTTGTTCCTAGGGATTTTTTTTTTCCTTCGTATAATAGCTGTTCAATATTTTTTAGACTTGCCAATTATTGAATCTTTTTTTTCGCTCTTGGATAAACACTTCTTCCTCTTACCATACTTTTTCCCGTCTTAGGAGCATTGAAGTATAAGTGCAAACGAAACTATTTCATGCTTGGAACCTGTCTGGCATACGGTTCAGCCATTGCTAATTTTGCTAAGCATCCTCACGCCCGCTAATAGCTTTGCGAAATTAATCGAAGAGGCTAAAAATGTTTGTCATAGCTATCTGTATTATTTATCGCGGATGTTTGAGCAAAAAATGGCACCAAATTCAAAATTATCAACAAACAAAAAATAGTACACGAAGAGTGCATAAAAAGGTGTTGAATACAATTTTTATATATGTTTGTCTCGGATCTAGTCTAGGTAGTCTAGGTAGCTAGACTTTCCGATACGAGCAGAGAATAAAGTATACATGACTTTACTCGACGTTTCGTTACTTGTTAAAACTAAAATGCAATCTTGAAAGTTATATATTTCCAACATGCAGCTTGTCTTGATAAAAAAAAAAAAATAAAAATAAAAATAAAAAAAACCCTCAAGAATCTAGAAAAACAAGTGAGACGACAATATTCAGTNAAAAAAAAAAAAATAAAAATAAAAATAATAAAAACCCTCAAGAATCTAGAAAAACAAGTGAGACGACAATATTCAGTCTGAATGAGCACTTTAATGAACTAAAAGATCATTTACGACTAAATGACCTCAAAACTCAAGCATGTTAAGACATGAAAAGTTATTGAAAAGTCTACTCACCGAGTACTCCATCTACAAGCCATGCATCGTCAGTCAGAACTCTTGTTATCCTCTCAGGGATGCTCCAAACAGCAAGCAGTAGATCACTGGCTGCTATACTCGCTACAAGAAGGTTGTAGATGGATCTCATCTGTCCACTAACGTTACGTCTGTAAGCCATGATTAGAAAGCTGTTGCCTATGAAAGCTACCACCAATATTATGACATAGGCTAGGACTTCAAAACCTTTGACTATCTGCCCTTCGCTGTTTTTTATTGTCAGACTTGGCTGGGATAAATTGAAGGCTGGTGGAGACAAAGTTGTTTGGTTCATGATGAACTTTGAGATATTTATGAATATATAGTTTTCAGTTAGAAATAAAGATGTTTTTAGAAATTACTCCATTCAGAAGTTTTTTTCAGCGAATTAGACGTCGTCGCAAGCGAAGTGAGTTTCATATAAACACGAGCATAACTGACTGTAATGGTTGCTGCTTCCAACCGCTGTATCTTTGTCTGTAAAAAGAAAACAAACGAGAACAATTCTAAAAGAAAGAAACTAAATTTCCCATCTTTTAAGCTTTTATTTCCCTTTCAATACCACATCTACATAAAATACCTGCTTCTGATTGGTTGATGAACCGTTATTTTTTTCTTATTCCGTGCAATTAATTAATTAATTAATTGCACACAATCTGGAACTTTTTACCGTGTGTTGTTGTTTGAAATGCAAGTTACGCGATTTGTACTTGCGTTACTCGCAATTTGCTATTATTTTTTTACTTCAGAAAACGCGTACTCTATGTAGATGTTAGTACCACCTTGGTTCTCGAAAAATTAATGAAAAATGCTACTTGCATTTGATGAAAGGTGTTAAATACCACTCGTGCTACGTTTTTGCCCTTGGTATTTTTCATTAATTCTTCTCCAACGGTGGTATTTCCTATACATATTTCTTACATTCGAAGATATTATTCTATTTTTTGTTGCTCCCCTTTGAGAATGTTGTAATCATTAGAGGCTTCGAAGGTAATTCGAAGGGAAGGTTTTGTCTAGCTCGCAACGGGGTCCTGAAAATTTCGCAGAATTTAGTTCAAAAATAAACAGATTGCTATTAGAGTCCATATCATATATCTTTCAGTCGTTAATATTATGCAATTAAGGCTGTAAATAATCGATGTTTTTTGCTCCCCTTGGAGTAGGTTGTAATAATTAGAGACTTCGAAGGTAATTCGAAGGGAAGGTTTTGTCTAGCTCGCAACGGGATACTGAAAATTTCACAGAATTTAGTTCAAAAATAAATAGATTGCTTGTAGAGTCCATATCATTTATCCGTGAAAATGTTGACTCACAAAGTTGTACAAATTAGTGTAAAGTTCTGTAGGTCTACCGAGGTCTACTGAACTTACTAATGTTTGCAAATTTGTGCAATTTCTTACGACTTTTTTCATGTATATACGGTATGCACTCTATGTAAGGTAGCAATAGCGACCGCAGTTTAAAAAAATAAGTAAACAAGTTAAATTTTCTATCTACTGTACTTCTAGTCTCACGTAAGGTAAACTTACCTAAAACATGTTATCGGCGCTCACATGTTCTTCGCATGAAATATTAGAGAGTTTTAGATCGATTTTTTTTCTTCCCGCAAACGGCAAATGTGACCACGTTTTCATCTTTTTCCTGTATTTTACTTGACCTTTTGCCAAATTTCTCACTACACACAAATATTGTTTTGTCTTTCCACTACTTTAACTTTTTTGCGATTCTTTCTCAGCTATTTAAAATCATTTTTCACTGGTAAACTGACGTTTCACGTTTGCCGTGAACGTAAATCTAAAACTCTCTATATCGTTTCCCTCATAATTTATATTAGAAAATACAATATTTACTCTCGATAAGGATCATATATGTTTGTTCAATTAACATGTTTTGAATCTAAAAATGATAGCCAAAACCATAAAAACATAATTAGAAAAAAGTGAGATGTTTAAAAGATTCTCAAGCTTATCAATAGAGCTACCTCAAATACGTAGTTGCCAGCGACCTTGAAAGAGACTTTTCAGAGCGTATGAGTAATGCTAGCAGGTGGTTCAGTTCTCTTTATCATACGTAATTTAAACGTTCAATTCTATTTCCGTATTGAAAATGTAAGTGGCGTTCTGTCATTTTGACACGTATTCATGAGCCGTTTTGAATTTCATTTTAATAGCAGCAGGAATCTTCATGTTATTTTTTCATTAATGCGGTTTTCATACTTGTGTAGTAGAGCGGCCTGTATATATTATTTTCTTCAAGAAAGTTTTTGGCATTCGTTTGTCTTTCTTTTTTGTTGTTGTTGATTTAGTTGGTATCACTGATTTGTTTGTTTGTTTGCTTGTTTGTTTGTTTGTTTGTTTG